CACCTCAGTCTTTACCATGCTGTAGACTCCTACCTCTCCTCCGTCCTCGTCTTCTATGGTCCCGTTGCAACCGCCAATGCCACCGTGAGCAGTTCGCGCATTCAGGCGCATATTTTCAGCCCCGCAGGGTTCCAAAGTTACAGTCGAATAACCATTTCACCTGCTGCACCGCTTTATGCAGCAGTGAACCACCTGCCCCGGGAAAGACAAGGCGATGCAGTTTGTCGCGCACTTGCCGTGAGCATGCTGAAATACTTCGCTGAGTTATCGAATCCTCTCAAGACCCACTTGGCTGAAAGATCCCAGCCGGCGCGACAAGGTGGAAAATTACCGAAGTTATTTGACGAAATGCACGCTGCAGACTTAGCCAGCCGTATGACAAAGGTGGAAGACTCGATGGAGATCATTCGGGATATTCGGAACTCATTCCAGGAACGCAAGGTGCCTTGGACCGACCTCGACGTCGTTCTACCAGCCGGTACTATACAACACTCCGAGAGGCGAGAAAGTGCCGGTTCGGATATGGAAGAGTCACAGAACCTCCAATATGGCCAATATACACCTCTCATTATGGCACTTGGGGACCCCATGTTTTTACCAACATCGCGTCTCAAACGTGCGCCGTCACAATCCACCAATGTCAGCAAATCCAGAATATTCACACGTGGCCAGAAGGAGTCTGTTCGCCTTACCATGTGTGAACTTGTGGATACCGAGGAGCGGTATGTTGCGAAATTATATTCGCTTGTCCATGAGGTTGCGGATGAGTTCCGCCAAAAGGCCCAAGGAAGAGGCCCGTCCAGTACCAGCCCGGACGGAACAGCCTTAGAAACACTTTTTCCACCATGTCTGGATGAAATCTTGGAAGTCAACCTTGGATTCTTAGATGTCATTCGGCAGGTCCTCGATGACACGGAGAAAGACGCCCTTGAAGATATTGGACAAGACACTGAGCTTCCTCCACGCCGAAGTGCAGCACGGGAGAATAGGGATGCAATTGGCGCTGCCGAATTTGCAAAAGCATTGCTTGATTGGTTGCCCCAATTCTCCCAGCCATATGCCGAATATATGCGGGCACACAATGGTTTTGCTCAGATACTTAACTCGTTCACGAGAGATAAGAACTCCAGTTTTTCAAAGCGAGTCTACGAGACTGGAGAGCAGAGATTACGATCTCTTCTGATGGAGCCCGTTCAGCGGCTCCCGCGCTATAGTCTATTGATTGATACCATGACAGGCAGCTTGCCACTGGTTCATCCCGCTGTGCGTCCTTTGCTGAAAGCTCGAGACATGGTAAAAGACATTTGTGCCCTGGAGAGTTCTTCCCCAACTGGCCATGCACAAAGCCTTCGTCGCCTGAGGGAGCTTGTTGACGAGTGGCCAGCAAAAGTATTTCCAGATGGCCGCTTGATAACGGCAGTTGACGTCGATGAGATCACTGCTCCATACAAATTGGAAGGTCAACCAACAGGCCCTGGGGCTGGAATAGTACTTCTCTACCGAAATTGTCTCGTGATACTTGCAAAGTGTACAGACAGCCGAAGCACAGCACGCGGAGTGCTGGCAGACATCGATAATGCCGCATCCTCAACCACTGACACCTCTATGAATCTGCCATCCTCTGAGCTCAAGGTTGCCCAAGTGCTAGAGCTTCATACTGTGCGCTGCATGCAATCAGCATGTGGTCGGATATTGTATATCGTGCCAGCCTCATACCAGTCAGGTTCAGATCCGCTCGACAGCGGCGCCGATCTTATTGCCCTGGAGCTGACTTCGATGTATGAAGGAAAGGCCAGTCGATTGATCGAAGAAATAGCAAAGGCAAAGATTGAAGGTCGTTTTTCAGAACAAGAGCGAGAAGGTGACAAATGGACACTGCGGAGTCCTGCTGCCGCTGCGGGAGCCACCAACATTCTGGCTTGTGTGTGCGAAGATGGCCAGACTGTGGCTCTCAATCATGCCTACTCGTCTCCCATACGCGTGGTATTTGACAAACCGAAGGGGGAGTCTACCCAAGTGTTGAGAAACACCCACTTGGAGGTTGTTGTATCTATTTCTCCTCCCAATGGCGATCAGTTCAGAATGGATGTGGACTCTGTGATTGGTGCCCCTTCAACAGATTTGGTGTCGGCAGACACATTCATTCCAACCCTTTCAAGACGCATGCAGAATCTTCTTGCACCTCTACACAGTCCACAGAATCCCAAGGTCATGCTTCCTTTGGTTCGGTCCAATTTTGAAGTTCTTCGATACATTGCAAGCAGCTTGATCACCCAAGCAAAGGCATCCCGTGGATTCCGACCACCTTCGCCAACCAAGTTAATATCAAATCTACTGGGAGGAAGCCGTGAAAATGTTCCCACTATCAAGCAGCCAAACTCGGCGACCTTGTTGGGCGAATTTCCTAAAATGCCTCCCCCGAGGGGCAATCTTTCCAGATCAAACACTCTGCCTTCCACATTCCCTAGCAAGGAAAAAGACAAGGAAAAGGAAAAGGAGAAGGGAGAAACTTCTAACAAGATATCAGTGGTTGGAACGCCTGCTGCACGAGGCCCTGATGGCCAACTTGGATCCCTGGAGCAAACCTTCGCAGCCTACGTGCTCTCCTTACAGTCTCGAAGTGGGAACATTCTGGGGCGGATGCTTCGCGCTAGGGAGACTGCGGACCGCTCTCCGGTGAATGAGCTTTACAATATCCTGCTGGAAGATCCTTGCAAACTCCAAGCTGCTGCAGAGGTGCCAGTTGACACCTTATTTGTTGCCTTTGAGACTTTCATGAAAAACGCGTGGAAGCGGAGTATGGGCCCTGTGCTGGATATATCATCTTTGCGGCAGCTTCAAAGCCAATTCGACACCATGTTCCCTCGTGATTTTGACGAAGAATTCCGAAAGTTCCTGGCGGATACTAGCCCACAGAATCGACGTGCCTTAGCTGCTATTATTCGGCTGCTTGCTGAACTGCTTGACGCATCTGGTAATGATGGGGACCGGGGAGCATTGACAATGGCCTTCGCTGAGGTCCTCACAGAAGATGGTGATCCTGTACACCACGTATCCCTCTTGGATAGACTTGTTGAGGACTTTGATAATCTTTTCGAAGAGTTTATCCCCGGCGGAGCCTCAGTTGAAGGGACACTGACCTGTGACCAGACCCAGTCCAAGACGTCACAGGCCAACACTGGGTCTGTGGGTTCTAACAATTCTTCATTCCGAAAGCGCTTCGGATTCAGCCTTCATAAGGACAACCAGAAGAGTGAGGGTGAAAGCAAAGTTGCTTCGATCTTGCGAACACTGAGCAAGAGACAAAGCCCGGCTGATTTAGAGCCTAACATCCCTAAGGGATCTCTGCTACGCTCGAAGTCCACCGATGTGGAAGTACACCTGGGTTTACTTCGGCCTATGTCGCGCGATCGCCCGTTCGGATTTTCGTCCGAGGAGCATATTTCGAGACCAGGCACTGGCCACGGACAGACTCCGTCTTTGTCCTCGATTAGAGGTATATCGCATGATGGCGTCGTGAAGGTTCGCCGGAAAAGGCGGAGCTCTCTGTCAGACCTACGCCCCCAAACCGCATCCTCGGAGGTCTCCAATATCTCCAATATCTCCAGTATCTCCAATGTCTCCCCAACCCACCAGCTACGCCCTGTTACTCCGAATAGCCGCCCTCGAGCTGAGCCAACTACACCCACTAGCCAACCACCAAGGCCGCATAGTAGCTATTTGTCAAGATCACCTACGAGGGGCACATCACCGGCGAAGGCAACCTCTCCTGCCCGCTTAGGATCACCCATTCGAAGAATGTCGCCTACACGCCCTTCGACTCCCAGTAGAAAAGAGAATATTGATCCTCAGATGCCTCAAACAGAGAGAGCTGCCAAGACTTCGCGTGTCATTCCAGACTCGCCAACTCAGGAATTGAAGAGACGATCCCGCGCGACTAGCATTCCTCAGCGAACACCAGGACTCCGAGAGAGACCCACAGCTAACACGGAAAACAAGCGTCCGCAATCTTCATCCTCAGCTCAAAGAACCCCGAAGTTGCGGATGCAAAGCCCACAGAAGGTTAGTGACTGCTCTACGTAAACTTTCAAATTACATAACTAACAAATTCATGTAGCTCCGGGAACGTGTGAAGTCAGAAAAAAAGACTCAAGCTACTGCGCAGATTGGTCTTCGAGACGAACTGACAGCGCTTGGCGAGGAGCTCCATGCTCTAAGGCTTACACCGGCAAAGCAATCTAGTATGGAACCTAACGGGGGTGCCGCAGACTCTCAACCAACATCAGAAAGAGGTACAGGTCTGGAGAGTCGTTTCCGCATGCTTGAAAGCCGATTTGACCAGTTCGTGGGAGATTACAATGGACGCACCGCTGTATTGGAGAGAGACGTAGAGTCATCTCTGGTTATCAGCGAAAAACGAGTAAAGAAGCTGGATGAGTTGTACCGTGAGGCTAGTGCTGAGAACGCGGCCCTCTATGATCGGTTCAATTCGGAGCTCAGCAAAATATCCAAGGATGTGCGGACGGGCAGCGCGGAAGAATCTTTGCAATCCTCGCTGAACAATGCCCTGGAGGAAATCAGCCGCCTGAAGAAAGAGAATTTTCGACTCAAGAGAGAAGTCGGAGGTCTTCGGGCACAGCAGGCTGCCGTTGCTCTAACGAGAGCAAGCGATCAATGATCCCCATGCAACAATGCCCAATAAGCCCTTGATAACCTGCTACATTCCTTTTTTTTTTTTTTTTTTTTTTTTTTTTTTTTTTTCCCCCTTTCTGTTCTTTCCAGCCTCACCACACGCTGCATATCACTTTCCTTTCATCCCACACATACACCATTACATCTGTGACTCTCAACATCCATCACTGGAAGCAAAAGAGTTCTCATCTCTGTATCAATTGACCTTCTCTGTCACTTTTCAGCCTCATACAAACAAATGATTTTGTGCCATGCATCGTTCCGGAGATCAAGTCTGTCAGGGTTCATATTTTTTTGTTCTTATCCTATTATTGTACACTAGCTGCTTCAGCTTCTACTGGCCTGCCCATCAGGCGCAATGCATCGGTATCAACCATCTTGTACATCCACTCCCACTTTAGTATCCACGTTCTGCCTCCTACAATGATTTCCGTCTCGTTGACTTGAGTTTGTTTACGAAGGCCTGACAGATCGAAGCCCAGAATCGGCAATGCCAATAACTTGTCGACTTTTTGAGTTTCTGGTAAGCCAAAAACATTCGGTATTTCTTGCAACAACACAGGAAGTGTATACCGCGTTGGGCCTGGAGCCTGACCCGACAAGAGCTTGCGCAACTGCGCCAAAAGAACCTCAGGTGGAATCTTCTTACGTCCTTTCTTGAATGATTCGTTGCGCAGAGCCTGGAAATCATGCTCCTGGAGCGGTCTTATCGTAAAAGAAACGATCTCTTTGCATGCCTCGTTTGTAGAGGCTGCCTGGTGTTTCCCTAGCGGCGCAATAGACAGTCGGACCCAGTACCGGTCGTCCCAGAGCGTCCACTGGGAGTATCTTGGTCGGGGATTTGAGACTAGCTCCGCCGGTGTTGGCATAGGGATGTCTATAGACGTGATAGGCGATCGGTTCTTCATGAATGGCTGGCGTGAAAATAACCACGCATTGCCAGATGACGCAGACACAGGCGTGAACATCACACCCCCTAGTGTGAACTGCTTACGCGAATTGTCATTTTGAACGTCTTTCTCTTTAGCCGTACCGAAAATCCGAGAAACAAATGGCGCAAAGCTGCGTAGTGAGAAATGGTTTCCTGGGAATGGGGACACAAGTTCCGTTATGCGTCGGAGTGTAAGAGCCTGGATTTGCTGGGCTCGTTCGGGGGAGGTCTGAGCCAGCAGTGGATCCATCCATCTTGGGATCTCCCTGAACTGAACAGTCATTGTGCCCGATCTGAGATTGATATCAAGGATACGACATCTTGATGCAAGCAGCTGGTCCGACAGGCTTGATGATACCTGTAGAAGATCCCGACTAGAACGAATTAAGGAAAGGATTCGGGGTCCCTGCAGTGCACGAGGTAGAGAATTAGATGCCAGCATACTGCGAATAGCATTCCGAGGAGTTAAGGTTGGGTCGAAATTAGTCGGGTCTGAGACATAAGGAATATTATTTTGGTGGCAAGTCTCTAGCAGTCGGGCCTTAGAGAAGGAGATAAGAGGTCGACAGAGGAATATTCCACCCGTTGCGACGGCTGAAGCCCTCGAACCCAATTGGGGTGTTTTTTGAGATGACCAGGCTAGCTGAGCTGCGGCTTTCTCTCTGCGTTGGGATGTAGCAGACCCAGGCTCTGGTAATCGGACTGATGAACCGCTTTCAGAGACTCCGAAGAGACCGTGGCATTCTGGAATTCGGGCTATGCTTTGAATGCCGCCGAGACCTGCACGACGAGCACCTGTCGCTAGACGCCAAATGGTTGTCTCGATAGAGTCATCTCGGTGGTGGCCCATGAGTAGGGCATTGATCCCTTTGCTGCGACAGGCTGTGCCAAGGGCTTGATATCGTAGCCGCCGGGCATGTGTTTCAAAGGCACTTGGCATTGATATCTTTGCATTATTCTGGGCAGAGATTTCCAAATCCTTTGAAAACGGAGACCAGTCTAATTTCAAAATCTGGGTCTTAATACCTGCATGGTATTAGCACGAAGTTTGTATAGTAATAAGACTAAAGCAATTCATTCGACAGCAAATGTTCCAATAATGGGATACATACCCATATCTGACAACCATGTGCTGACGGTTCTTGCTTCATCGGCGCTCTCAGGTCGAGCACGATGGTCAACCACAAAGGCAGTCACGGAAATGGGTCCACCGATAGGCGTTAGTTCCAGCTGCCGGCACAAATATGCAAGGGCCATGGAATCTGCGCCGCCACTAACGGCAAGACCTGAATGTAATACTTAGCACGATGTCCCTTCCATGTATGCATTTACTGTGGGTTATTGAATCTTAGAACTTACCGATCCGTCGAGGTAGTTGAACCACATCCCCTACCACGCTTTGGAGGCCATGAGGGGCAATACCTCTCACCCCCGACCATGCCAGGCGGAAGTGCTCAGCAAAGTGCGCGACCGAGATTGCATTCGTCCCCGCCATAGAGAGCTCAGCGTTGACGGATCAGTTGGCTCTTTCATGATTGATATTCGGAGCTCGGCGAAACAGTTTTTCCTGTACGATGTAGATCGGGCTGTTGGAATAGGTATAAACAAAAGTAACATTGAACATTCATTCATCCTGTAAAAGAAGGACAGCTTATGAGCTACGACTGTTTTGACCAGTTTTTCCATTCAAAATTAGATAGATACGCTGTTAACAATGCTGAAGTAAGCTGGCTGTCCAGCACTCCTGTCCGCCAGGCATCATGCCAGTTTGATCTCGCTTAATTCCTCCCCAATTCTTCAACTGACAGCAAATGGCTCGAAAAGAACCTGGAATTAGTGTCTCGCGTAATGATACTACATGAAATTGTGTTGGCCAAAAAATAACAAAAAAGACAAAAAGAAACGTCCCCGGGAAGGCTCGAACTTCCAACCTCCTGATTAACAGTCAGACGCGCTAGCCAATTGCGCCACGGAGACGTATTTGATATGACGTCGATGACTAAAATGATCTATACAGCTAGTCACCGTTCGTACTGGCTGATATGAGAGAGACTGGAGCTTGATTGGCCTTAAAGGATGGATAAGAGCCTATTAAAGGGAACATACATGGCTTTCATAAGAGTTTACCCAGGCATTGGCTATGATAACCATTATATGCTTTGTACACTGATTTTGCCCAGTAACCCAAGACCTTATAGCATATGTACTAGTGAATACTAGATTTCTATACACTATCTTCTCTCACTCCTTAGGATCATGATCTGTAATTTATGTCAGTGACCACTGCAAGAGAAAAACGCATGCATCGTCTCTTGTCTCGGCGATTCGATGTTTCACAAAATCAGCTTCTCGCATTAACACCGTGGCGCATCAACGGCTTCCTCTCCGGGTCGGCAAGTCTTCGGAGTAAGACCGAAGAAACCTCCACATTTGCCCTCCAGCCATAGTCTCGGGCGAATGCGGTTTCAGGTCCTATCAGTCAAGTGGTAGGTGGCCAATCTAATTGCTGGATCAAAATGCCTGGGGGTCACTACGCTGATCCAGGTCAACCTTGGAAGGTTCCACGCCGCCCTCGACACGAGCGTGCGGGGATGCATTAAGCTACAAAAGTCATGACTTGTCGGGTTTCCCCTCTCATGAATGACTTGAAATCTGCTACCCTGCATCTTTTCTTATAGTCCCAGTCTCAACATCGGCTACAATGGATTCCGAAAAGCCCATCATCCTCCATCTTGGAGATCCTATCGAATTCAATAAGGAACTTTATGCTCAAATAGCAAAGGATTTTACGGTTATTCGCCCCTCTCTTGAAGAGAGACAACGGGTCAATTTCCTCAAGGCCTTAGCAGAGAAAAAATGGGGAGACTTCCAGGGTGTCTTTCGTCCATTCTGGAACACCGGTGGAGAAATGGGTCGCTGGGATGCCGAATTGATCCCATTGCTACCATCGTCACTCAAGATATACGGTAGTGCCGGTGCGGGCTATGACTGGATGGATGTCGACATCCTAGCCGAGCATGGTGAGTCTACCGACCTTACTCACCTCGTATTGTGCTAATGCATTTATTCACCTAGGGATTATCTATTGTAACGGGGCACAGGCATCGAGCGAGGCTGTGGCTGACATGGTAAGATGCCATGATCATTTATGAAAAGGCAGCAAACATTCAATATTGATATATTTACAGGCTATATTTCATATCATCTCCGTCTTTCGCAATATGCAGTGGTCTATGGATGGCGCTCGTTCAGGTGATCCGGCACTTTGGCTTGAGGCGCATCAGAATACCGCGTTCACCGCACACAATCCGCAAACACAGATCTTGGGTATCATTGGTCTTGGGAACATTGGCTAGTATGGAGTCCTAGACGGGAAACATCAGACATTCATATTGACATATGCAGTACTATCGCCCGGAAGGCATATGCATGCTTCGGCATGAAGATCTACTATCAAGACATCTACCGAAAATCTAATGAACAAGAACAAGCAATCGGCGCTTCCTACTGTGCGACTCTAGACGAGCTTCTTGCGGTGGCAGATTGTATTGTCCTGGCTACGCCGTTCAGTGGATCCAAACTTATCACCAAGGAGACCTTGGCTAAGTTCAAAAAGGGAAGCAAATTCGTCAATATCGCCCGAGGAACATTGGTCGATGAAGCTGCTCTGGTTGATGCCTTGAAGTCTGGACACTTGTCTGCTGCAGGCTTAGATGTGCATGAAAATGAGCCGAATGTGAACAAAGACCTTATAAAGATGCGGAATGTCACGTAAGTTAATTGCGTCGAGAGGCAGTTTCACGGAGCGTTTGCTGACATGGTGCTGCCTATGCAGGCTCACATCTCACACTGCCGGTGGCGCGGCTGAGACTCAGATTGGATTTGAGCGATTAGCGATGGAGAATGTTCAGCGGGTGTTGACTGGTCAGGAGCCGCTCACCCCAGTGAACAAGCATCTGATTAAGAAATGAGTTGGAGTCTTGTTAAAATTCATAGAAAAGCTTAGAGCTTTCAGACAGCCTTTTCCATTAGTTGTAGCATAATGAAGAGCTGAGAAGCCTTACACGTAACAACGAAAGCCACCAAGGCAATTGATATACATTGAAAGTAGGTACTTTTATGCAGCAATCGGTGAGGAGTCCGGAAAAGCAGCCAAATAAGCACTTTCGATCTCATAACCCACACCCGCAATGCCCTCAAAGATATTATCTTGTTTCACAGGGAGCCCCAAAGACTCTACTGCATGCCTTAATTCTTCAATTAGACGCTCGGCATCCGAAATCTCAGTCGCTGGCTCCGGTCTGCCTAGCAGATGATAACAAGATGCTAGACGACCTGACTCGAGACATGAACGCACTCTATGGAAGAGCATGAGTAAAGTGTAACTGCCTTGCATCGCACTGCATCCAAGAAAAGGAACGGTGCGGGGAGCCCTGCCCACACAGCATGGAGATCGCACCATTACTCTTCGATTCAAAGATCCTCTTTTGCAAGTTTCTGGGCCACAGGGATGGGGATATGGTAAACTGCGAAACGCATTTGCTATCACGAGAGAAGATTTTAGACAAATGTTGGAAGACTCTTGTTCTGTGAAGGGGAACGTGGATTGCCAATGGGCGACATTGGAAGGAGAGGGATGGGAGAAGCCATGGCTGTTGATCGAGATGAGATCACAGTATCGATCCAGGAATAGAGGTATATCTATAAAGGCCCTGAAGCGGTGAAGGCGAATTCGAGCACTGCGTCATAGTCAGCATAACTAAGCTTGAGCACTTGAGCTTCCTTGAGAGTGCCTTACGTGTTAATCATAATACGGCTGATTCGCCACATATTCTCAGCAATGTAGGATTCACCCTCGAAATCAAAGGTCTCGCGTAGACTTTGATCTGATTCAACGGTCAAAACCACAATTTGAGCATCGAGATTCTTTATTTCCTCGCCGAGATTGGAAAGAATTGGTGAGTCGGCGACACTTTCAATCTTTTGAACCATGGAATGGGCGGCATAGAGGAGTTTTTGCACTTTTATCGTAAGACCCCATGGCTTTATACCAAATCAGCAAGCTACTAATTGAAGGATATCAGGGGAAATAAGATACCTCCGTATTAACGCCAAATCGGGGAAGAGGAGTGGTGATTCGCGGATCATCGGAGGCGATAATGGGGGGCTATACCCAATTATTAGCGACCGAGACAAGAGTAGAGTAAGAACGTAAGACCATACCGCAAGATGTAAGTTTGAGGATATGTATGCCACAAACATCTAACACTAATTTTAGTACAGTGTATCACAAATCTTGGAATGCAATTGCTCACTATCATCCACCATGCGCGTCTTTGAGCCTCTGAATATTCCGTCAAAGTTGAGCCAAGGTCATGAAGACAGAGGTCCATTGCTGTAGTGACCGCGTGGTTGATCCGAGCTCGCATTCGCGACACATTGCCTCGTTGGCAATACTCATACATTGCAAGAACGACAAGTGCCAAAATTGGGTCCAATTGGATTGGAACCTTGGAGTGGAGTGCACTCTGCTCTTGAGAGGGGCTGGCACCGATGATATTGATGCTGGATGCTGGACTTAACTCATCAATTTCTCTCTCGACACTGACTAAAGCTGCCTGTGCAAAGAGCTGAGCATAAGACCGCCTCAAAAGGACGGCAGGCTCATTCATCGAAGATGAATCAGGAATAGGTGGGATTAGAACGAGAATAGCTGACAAGGCGAGACTCAATGAAGATACAGGCCAATAAGGCAGATCAGTCTTCTTTGGCTGTTCGAACTGTTTTGATGGTCGGAAAAAAGTAGATCGATCCTCATATTGCAGATTCGGTGATGGTGGGAGCAGTGGGAAGTAGGGGTGCATGTAGATGTAGTAAGCATTGAGGCTGCTAGGTTGTTAGCATAATGCACTCAAGTAAATGACTTGGCGCTCATACATGTCTTGTTCACACTGATAAGCTCGAATAGCAGGTAGATCCACGTCATTGATAGACGGTGAGGTATATGAGCCATCATCACCGGGAGTAAGCTGACCCCACAATTGAAGAGCTTCACCAGTGTCTGATAGTACATCTGGGGACAGGTCTAGATTTTGAATACCCACAAAAGGTGTGAGAAGCCCCATCGTGTTTTCAAGTAATGGATCTGATAGGCGATTTAGTCACATTGCTTGGATTATTACGGCATTTTCCTTACCAATAGTTTCAACGGCATCTATTGGCGGAATCCGAGGCTGTAGCGGGGGTTCCGAGGGTGCGCTATCAACCTGAGCATGACGCTGCAACGTCTCGGTATACCGAATACCTCTACGAGCTCCACCTCGGCGACTGGGTTGATAGCTGCATTCTCGGCCTTTGCTATAACACTGGAACTTAAGGTTAGATCAAAGCTCCACTGCATGTTGATTAGATTGACCTTACTACTTTGCAAGGATATTGTCCATCGCATCGAGTTTTTGAGGAGCGACTGTATATTTTTATCAGCCATGAAAAGTTAGAATGGATAGCGATGAAAATCGACTGACCATGCAAGACATGCCGCTTTTACGGGCGCTTTGGGTACACGAGGCATTTGATGGTAGGGTGACCCTTTAATTCTTTGAATCGAGTCCCCTGTGAATACCTGGTTAAAGTCTCGAGTCAGATATACCTGTCACGAGTCTGCTTTGATACCCGATGAGATCCAAAGGAAGAAGTGTAATCGCCCGTCAGAAGCCGGTCTATGTGGCGTTCGGCGTTTGATCCGTTCAAACGCCGAATATAGGAACAATCGCCGGTTGAGTTCAGGCCTCCATCTCATTGCAATCATATAGACAGCCAAAGTCATCTTCCCTCGGTCAAATGATCACAATCTCATTTCAAGCGTTAAAATATATCGTTTTAATGGATTCCGGAGTATGACTGCAGTAGAATTTCAATATCCTCCAAGACGATAAGTTTATTATAAAATCTACCGGTCGGACATAGTCTCCAGATCACTGGCAACCACTGCCAGAGCAAACCTTCCCTACATCTGATTCCTGTGACGTGTCAGTTCGACAGAAACACGAGGACTTGATAGGGATATCCGCCACCGCCAAAGCAATTTTCAGCTGCGGCTCAATCACCCTGGCCTCTGCAGTGCGGCCTAACCGAAGCAAACACTCATGATATCCCTGCAAAGCCCAAACGTTATTCGGGTGTTGACGTGCGCGAATAATAGAATCATCAAGTCCCAGATCACATCGGTAAGCAGCAGCAGCTTCTTCAACATGACCTTGTTCCAATAGAAGGGCTGCGTACGCATGTCGAGAAGGCTGCATCCAACTCCACGGCTCTTTGTATCCCAGACCATCGTCCAATTCGATTGAGCGACGGAGGTGTTTAAAAGCCTCGGTATAATTGCCGTGTCTATATTCTATCTCACCATCCAACATAGCAGCCGCAATTTCAAGGGTATCCACACATTTATTCGGAAAATCAAGACGGGACTCGGGGACACGCTTCCCTGCTTCAGTATACAGGTCCCGGTATTTCTCGGCTTCAGCGATTTTGCCAGTTGCTGCATACGCGATGCCTTTCGCGTAGTATATATTTGCAATGGTGACACAGTAGAGCACTGGATCTTCGGGGAGTGAAAGGCTGATAATTTCGTCCCACATACCGAAGCGAATCATGACGTGTGGCCGTATGGACATGAAGACTTCAATCGAATCCGCCATTTTGACGAGTAATTCCTTCGGGAGAGTTTTTTCCATCCGATCTACAGCATCGATGGCCACATGCTTTTGGCCCGCGAACATCGCCGCATAGATTAGCGTATGATAATTGTGCATGCGATAATTAGAGTAGAAGTTCATCACGCCCTCGTAACGGATGAACTTCTCATCGGAAAGGGTAGCGCGCTGATTGGTGCGTATGGCAGCTCGATAATCTCCGACCAGGACATCCAGGTGCGCTGGCATGTGGTTCACATGACCGGCATCTGGGACGAGCTCACGCAAATAATCAGCCGGGACTAGGCCCAGCTCTGGTGTGGGAGACATCTCAATGAGATGGATATACAAATGCAGCAGACCCGGATGTCGGTATGCATCGGTGTGCTTCAGTGCCTTCTCTAGCACGTTCTTTGCATCCAAAGTCCGCGTACCCGGGTTCGGTAGACCAGTCTCCAGATTCCAGAGTTTCCAGGGATTGAGACTCATGATGGAGTCTGCATATAGAACCGCTATATCGAGATCTTCTCCAAGCACATGATATGCCCCCTCCATTGCGTCAGCATAGGCGCGATTCTGAGCGGCGTACTGATCTAAGTTCGACGGTTGGTCACTCTGGAAGCGAGCTTGGATGGCGGTGATCAGGGCTTGTTCCACGGGAGTTGCGTCGGACGCAAGAGCCTTCGCCTTCTGACAAGCTTGGTAGGTGCGCTGTAAAATGGTTTTCAGGTCATCGCGGAAGAACGCCCATGACTTGTTGTAATTAGGACCGAGGGCGTAAGCTAGACCCCAATACGCAATGGCACAATATTCATCATGGGCGATAGCTTGCTCGAAGCATATAGCTGCTTCGTCGTGGTTGAAAGAGTAGACCCAGCAGAGGCCTCGGTTGAACCAGATCTGGGCTTCGGGGCTAGTTGTGGTGATGGGTCGTCCGAAGGTACCTAAATCATAGGGGTAGTCGCTCCTTTGGGTAAGCGCGGTGATTGTCATATCGAATGCGAGTCTAGGGAAGCAAGCACTCTGATACAACAAGCTCAAGAATTAAAGGGGTTGTAGCTTGGAATTTGAGTGAATATAGTAGAGTCGAAGGTTTCCAGATCCGATACGTGATCCACTGTGGAAGCCCCGCCTGAGGGGTATTGGGTGTTAGTAACGGTACCCGAGGTTCCACTGCAGCTAAGTATGACATTGAACACAGTCTTGTCATATTACCAATTTTAATTTTAATTTTCTTTTTCTTATTCGTAAGATGAAAAGCATACCATTAAACAATTGAATCCATGTACATCTATACTCTCCAGTCTATCAGAACGACGGAAAAATTATTTATACAAGACGCACAACAAGAAGAGCCAAAGCGCCGAGTAGGCCAGTGGAGAAAGTGAAGGAAGGTGAAGCAGCACCGGTGTAGACAGGAGCGACAGAGCCGGTAGTCGAGCTGGAGTAAGATCCAACACCAGAGCTCTTCTGGGGAATAGAAGAGCTAGAAGTGGCAAAGGCCGAAGGAGTGGGCTTAATGTGGATGTGTGTGCTGCGCACAGGGGGGATACCAGTGGCACCAACACCTGCGATGCCAGTGCTAGTGGCCTGGGTAACAGTGAGAGTCAAAACCTCAGTTGCGATAGCAATGGTCTCGGTTGTACCAGACTCGACCTTGGTCGAGTAAATGATGGTGGTGCTGATCTCTTCGTTGCCAGCGGATTCAGAGCCAGAGCCAGTACCAGTCGAGCCAGTGCCGGTAGAGCCAGTGCCAGTCGAGCCGGAGCCAGTCGAGCCGGAGCCAGTAGAGCCAGAGCCAGTAGAGCCAGAGCCAGTCGAGCCAGAGCCAGTCGAGCCAGAGCCAGTCGAGCCAGAGCCAGTCGAGCCAGAGCCAGTCGAGCCAGAGCCAGTCGAGCCAGAGCCAGTCGAGCCAGAGCCAGTCGAGCCGGAGCCAGTCGAGCCAGAGCCAGTCGAGCCAGAGCCAGTAGAGCCAGTACCGCTAGCCTCGGTGTAGGATGAAGCAGTCGAGCTGGCAGTCTGGGTAGCCTCAGCAGCAGTAACCGGGCAGATGGTGGTGTAGTCCACAATGGTCTCAGTGGTAACATAGGTGGACTTCTCAGACGCGGGACAATCCTTAACAGAGGAGGGGCAAGCAGTAATAGTCGACGTACGGGTAATGAAGGCAGTGGAGGTAGTCATTGGCACAGTAATGCTGCCCTGGCCTGCTGGAGTGGCAGTAGTGGTAGGCTGAGCACCCTCGGTAATGGGGCAGACAGTAGTACCAACGACGACAGTCTCGGTAGTCAAGTAAGTCGTCTGGTCACGGGCAGGGCAGTTGGTAACAGTGGAGGGGCACGCGGTGACGGTGCTTGTCCGGGTAGTCAAAATTGTGGAGGTGATGACAGAGCCAGAGCCAGAGCCAGAGCCAGAGTGGTCGCCAGAGCCAGAGCCAGAGTGATTGCCAGAGCCAGAGCCAGACTCGTGGCCGGAGCCGGAGCCAGAGTGGTTGCCAGATCCAGAGCCAGAGTGGTTGCCAGAGCCAGAGCCAGAGTGGTCACCAGAGCCAGAGCCAGAGTGATTGCCAGAGCCAGAGCCAGACTCGTGGCCGGAGCCGGAGCCAGAGTGGTTGCCAGAGCCAGAGCCAGAGTGGTCACCAGAGCCAGAGCCAGACTCGTGGCCGGAGCCGGAGCCAGAGTGGTTGCCAGAGCCAGAGCCAGAGTGGTCACCAGAGCCAGAGCCAGACTCGTGACCGGAGCCGGAGCCAGAGTGGTTGCCAGAGCCAGAGCCAGAGTGGTCACCAGAGCCAGAGCCAGACTCGTGACCGGAGCCGGAGCCAGAGTGGTCACCAGAGTCGGAACCAGAGCCGGGGTGGTGACCATGGTGGTGACCATGTCCATGGGCAGAGCCCGATGGGATAGGCGAAGGAGCAACGACCGAGCCGGAGGGGGTGAAGGAAGGCTTGGGGGTAGGCGAGATGGGGCGACGGCTCCAAGGGGCGGAGCTAGAAGGAGTGGGACGAGCAGAGTGAGGGATACGGCTGTGTCTAGCAGGAGCAGATGCCGAAGGGCGAACAGAGCTAGGAACGGGGGTAGAAGAAGACACAGCCTTGGAGCTAGGACGAACTTCAACCGAGCGCACGGGAGAAGAGCTAGCCACCGCAACAGACGAAGACTTGGCCGGTGAGCTGGGGACAGGAGTGGGAGTAGGAGTGCTGGTTGTGCAGACTTCGCCTGCGCCAACAGCCTTAAAGTTATCTAATTCGATGGAGGTATCACCGGCGTTACATCCAAAGACGAAGTAAAGGTTAACGGTCGAAGCGGTGGGTGTCCAGGTGATGCTGTTGGTAGTCCATTCTGGGAAGTTCGATGAGTAGATAGGCGATACTGGTTTGATGTAATTATTCCAGGAGCCTTGAGACCAGGTCATGTAGCAGACACTACTACCGCCATTGAAACTCGCAGCAAGTTTGTAGTCGACGGAGAGTGTGTAGGTTGAGCCAATTTCCAGACCCGTCAAATCCTGCATTAAATAATCCAACTCATCATTGGATTGAATGGTGCTATATTGATTCGTTAGTTACATCGTTTAACATTGTGGGCCTCAGTATACCCTTTCATGTTGGGGGAACTGACAAGTAATCGTTTCCATCGGAGGCATCGCCAGATGTAACTTCACCTCTGGCTGACACTAAGCTGGTCCAGTCGGTCAAGTCGCCAGTTTCGAATGAGGGGTTCTGGTAAAAGTTGACATTATCCGAGACGCCGCAAGTCACAGTTGCAGATCCCGAGCTAATGAGTGAGGCCGAGAAGAGCAAAGTGCTCAAAACGCGGGTTGTGGTGGGCACCATCGTGAGATGTGCGAGGAGCCGGTATAATTAATGATAGTCGTGAATATTAATAAAAGAGTGACAATATTCGAGGTCAAAAGAGTGACGAGGGAAAGCAGAAAGCAGAAAAAATCCAACGAATGACGAGTTTTCTCGCGGCCCTAACGAAGGGAAAGAGTACGTGGGAGACAGACTTATATACACCTCAACTCCACAAAAAGCCGGAAAACGTGGGTCAGGGACTGACAACAATCTTGCGGCTGATTCCGACACGAGGCTAAGCCATGAGGGCCTGGAGCCAATCGCTGCCATACGTCAGGGTCCAAGAATCAGGCTACCTCCGGATTAATCGGAGTATTGACGGCCAAGCCAGCGGTTGTCTCAGTGAAAACAGCGCGTTCGGACAAAATGTCCTTGGCGTAGGGGAAACATAGCGGTGGGGCGCTGTCAAATTAAATCGGGGGTTCCGAAGGAAAGCTATACGGACCGCTAACCGACATGTGTCGCCAGAAAATACTGGATCGAGATGTGGGCCAGGGTCAACGGTGGGTTGGCGATAGGCTAAATGTATAATTGGGCACCGTTCCTGGATCCTCAGGGACAGGAACGATCTCATTGATCGGCAAACCATCGAGAGGCGGGCACTAACGCAAGCCACAATCACTAGTTCAGGCTCGATCCCTGTCCGGTGGATTCCTTTAGCCAAATGGCGCTTCATCGAAGTCATTCGAAGCGACGGCGGGGCTAACCTTCCAGATTAACAAGAATGTCAGCTTGAATCATGCGAATTCAACTTCGTAGGAGCAGAAAAATCTCTGGGGTTCCATGGTGCTTAGTACAGGAATTTCCACGCTACATTCAGGATTCAACTTCAAAACACCAATTCATTTGGCAAAGATAAGGTATATGCAAAGTGACATGGACCTACGCTCATCATCATTGCCGATTCTGCCGACAATCAAACAAAAATAGAAAAGGGAAAGAAATATCACACATAGAACAGACACATGAGCAAAATCAGGGGTATCAGAGAGCATCTTCTTATGTACCCGAATTCATCCCTCAGCCAAGGAAAATGGCCTCGCTAAGCCAAAAAGCCAACGCACCGCAAACCCATAAAGTAACAAAGGTACACGATTTTGATTCAGGGAACGGGGAATTGCCCGGGGACAATACCCTTAAGTCACTACCGATTCAGAAACAGAGCCTGAATTCGTCATAGAGTGGATACTGCCTGGAGGGCCGTGGTGGTTCCCATTGGGAGTGGCGCCATCTCCGTTGGCGCCATAGTTCTCGTTGTGGTTAGTCAGGGATGAAGGGGATCGAATCTCTTTCTTGCCGTTCGCCTTGTAGTACAGAATCATGTCACCAGACGTACGCCAGAGACAGGAGCGAATGGTAGCGAGAGTCATATTCGGTGGACACAACTAAGGGTGATACATTAGTTAAGTAAATTTTCACAAGGTCGGAGGTAACATACGATCTTCTGGCAGTAGAGCTCAAGGTACTCCTCTGCGGGCATGACACCATCCTCCGGTTCATCAGGATTCGGGGGATCGATGCGCTCAGCCACGTAGGCTAGCACCTTCTTGGCACGCAACATCCGATTGGCATTCAGCCGGGAGCTGTTATTACCATTGGCGTTGAGGGGCGGGGGACCTCCATTTGCAGTCGCGCTATAGGGGACCAATTAGTTATAGATCAACAGTAGTCTCTTCTACATAGGATCTTACACTTCGGGTTTAACGACCGGTGGCAGCAAATCATCGAAAGGCTTCAGAATAAAAGCAATCTTGACCTGTTCTTTGAATGGAATTTGATTCTGAAGATATGGTTAGTGACATCACGCGACGGATAGCATAAAAAAGCATTTACCTTCAGAAGAAGTTCGCCGAGCCAATGTGGGATGGACTTTTCCAGTCGCTCAATTTCTTGCCCGATGCGGCCCACGCTGCCTCGGTAGAGATCGGAAGCCACTGCAGTATCACCTGTCTCTTCTTGGATGAAGACGGCAGTCCGAGAGGGAATATGAAGACGAGGTGTCTCGCTCGTTGGACTGGGAGTGATGGCCGTCACCAATTCTCGAGATGGGTTCGCGGCCAGGAACTCGTCATACTCATGACGAATACGGTCGATCACGCCACTGATATTGGGATCGTACACCTTCTCCTCCTTTACTGATGATACCTCCGATTCCTCAATCTTTTCTTCTTGGATCTGTGGCTTCTGGTCCGTGGATGTTCGTCCCAACTTCTTGATATCCATGCGGAACTTCTTGCCAAACAAGGAGCTACCCTTCTTGCGTTCTTCCTTGTCGGGCTCTGCCGGAGACTGCGGAAGTCCTGAGGTTGGGTTACCGTCACCTGGGGACATGGGCTGCTTTTCGTTATCCTGAGCCAACCGTGAAGAAAAGTAGTCACCAGATTTGTCGGAGTAGGAAAAGGAAGATGGTACACCATCAGGGTTAGGATGGGATGATGGAACATCCGGAGTATCTGCTTCAAAGCCAGGAAATGGGGAGACACTGCTCGCCATTGAGGTGCTGAGATAATTTGCTGAAGACGGCGTGCCAACGTTGATCCCAAAGCCTGGAGCGTGAGGGCTTCCTGGGAAATCAAGGGTTGGACGCAAGGTCGTCATAGAGGGGTCTTGCGAGATAGGAATTCCAATACTACGAGGAATATCATCACCGGGGATGGAAACACTCAGAGGGTTAAGTCTGGCGTGCTCCTCGGCCTTTGCGCTGGCAGTTTCGCGATACTCGCTATCCCGCCGAATCTCCTCGTCTACCAAAGGAGCAAACAGCCAGCGCAGAATCCATTTTCCAAGGTTGACTGAACGTCATGTTAGTTATGTGAAGCCAAATTACCGCAGGAAGAAGAAATAATTTCATGCATGCAATTAGGACAATACTTACTTCGTTGATCGTCACGGAACTGCGCAAGGTCGGCATCTGATAGGCCCGCCTCATCTGCATAGACCTCAGCATCGAAGCAGCGGTTGGGTTCCAGGATCACAGAAAGTCTGCCGGTGCGGATATCGATCGTGCACCAATGAGCAATAGTCTCCGTCGTATTAAGCTCATCGGCTACATCTTCGATATGGCGCTTGCCATAGGCTTGCACGGGAACACACTGTATTCCATGTTAATGAATGTTTGAGCGAAACAGCTGAAGCTTAAAGTAGCTCCCAATGTGTTCCAACGTACCTTCAGTAGATCCCACAGGACAACCTCTCCGGCTGAATCTTGGGTAAGTGTCCGCTTTCTGTCATTCAACATCAAGCATTTAATCAACCCATGCTGGCCCTCAATGCTCTCCTCCGGCTGGGTATGTACGGGAATTGGCAATCCAATATCAGTCCCCAGATCGGGCTCTGGAGTATTAACCCTGGACGAGGGATTGCTCCCTAGCAGAGTTGACGTTGCTGATACTTGCAGTACTGCATTGTACGGAATTTTCTTTGTCTTGTCTGGTTCCGGTGTAGCAGCGGCCGCGTCGATGTTGCGCACAGGTTCTGGGGGCGATTCAATCTCAAGCGTAGTGTCGATATCCTTCCAGCGGTTTATACTCGACTTGGGAGTAGCTGTCCAGATATAATCGCCGCACACCGCAACCTTTACAACACCTTCATGTTCTTGAAGTGCTGCAACACAAACACCCTGCTCCACATCCGGCGAACGCCGCGTGTCAGTCTTGGCGACCAGTCCTGAGCGATCACTGGAGTAGAAGACAGAGAGGTCGGGCTGATCCGAATAAAGAGACCAGACGCTATCATTGTGCATGGTTAGTGTATTCATGCAGCGACCTGCGGTGAGAGACCAAATCTTGATGGTCTGGTCTGACGAAGCAGTCATGATAGTATCTCCAGCCTGGTTGATCAGAATGTCCCGAACATTGTCCGTATGCCCCACGAACTTTGTTATCAGTTTTCCAGATTTGGGATCCCATACACGGACGACGTTCTCTGGCCCGCCGCTGGCGAGCACCGACGAGCCGGCCCCAAGAGCATAGATAGACCCCTTTTCGGTCGCATCGTCGTCACAGGCATCAATGCTCAGTATTTCTCCGCCGCCATTGAGATCCCACAGGAATAGCTTATGGTCAAGTCCGCCCGACGCAACCCAGTTCGCCTGGCCGTCGGGGCTGGCTAGCGCCTTGACGTAATCTGTATGTTTTCCAATGCGCTCCGGGACTTCGGTAGACTCTGAGTGCGGTCGCCAGAGCCTAACAGTAGTATCTGACGATGCCGATACGAGCGCGGAGTTGCCCTGGGTCAAGACAATATCGTTGATCCAGTGACTATGGGCCTGAACCTGAGTCTTGAAACGAGTTGGTCCCGGTTGTCGACTGGAATTTACGTATGGGTTCGATGCGTGGAAGGGGGTTTGAGGGAAGTCGAGATCCCATGAACAAATGACACCGTCACGGCCCGCGGAATACCTGGAGAAAGGAAAGACGTCACATTAAAAGCTGTACAACCCACGTGGGGAAAGGGACGGGTTGCGGGGGAGGCACGACTAGTGCAGTCACTCGGCTTCCAGAAGTTTCTTAACTTCCTTCTCCCGGAGATTCGAAAGGAAAGGGCGCTTACAGGATGGAGTTTTGAGGATCAACGGTCAACCCATTAACTCCCAGCCGGTGCCCGCCGGGGGCATCAGGCAGAGGGAGCACTGCAAAGGGAAAAAAAGATCAGCATCGCAATTCGAGGGTAAGTTTCAAATAGGACTGAGACAAGACTAACCATAAGTGACCCTCTGGTGGCTCAGTTTCCGTGCCATACATGCAGATTGGGGAAGTGGAAGAGAGACAAATTGCGGAGGAGATGCGGAGCTTATCTGCCTCAATCGAGGCCGATCACTTGCGCTGTTTGGTGGGGATGAGAACGACGTCACTGACGCATTTACAGCAATCCCCCAAAACCAACACTAGATGGTGTGATTGAGTGGAATTCGATTGAACAGGTACGGAAGGACATGTAAATGAGGGGAAGGTTGGGGGAACCGCCAGGGGCAGGACGCC